TGCAATAATGTTTTTGAACTGTGTATTTGCATTTTTTTACCAGATGCTCACTCTCTGGTGTTTAAAACCAAAGTATTTTATGTAGATCATTTGAATCATTCTTGTGTATTGTCAAGAGTAAAGATGAATATCAATAAGAAAAGCTAATCTTTTGAATTAAATTTCAAATTGAAATTCCAAAATCGCATGGGAGCTCAATATAAGTTTTAATCCATTCCCATGTGAAAACAGATGATTATTTGGAAATCAGAATTTGAACTAATTCATAAGTGTAATNTATATATTTTTTATAAGAATTATATTTAGTTTATTATTTTGTTACATTTTTTGCCAGTAGATGATGATACATGTAACTTAGAAAATCGAATGTAGATAGAAATGAATTGATTTACAGAAATCCAATAGATATTTTACAGTGGGATATATGACATTATTCATTATCCAAGTTAGAAGTATGTAAACATAACTGCTGAGTTTTGTAGCAATTGGTTGAACAGCCTAGGAGTGTGTAGCAAACAAATAAACATCCTCATTCCTATATATGTATAGGAATGAGGATGTTTATTTATCAATTTATTATTTAACAAATTATCTATATATATATATATATAAATTGTTTGGCATTACTTGGAAAGAAAGACTAACTATAAATAAATAAAATACTAACAATAAATAAAATAGATTTTTTTTTCATCAGAATCAAAATAAAATAGAATTAATTGAATTTAGTTTTTGAGATTGGCAAAGGGGGGAAAAAAATCACACTTTGATATTAACCATATCCACACACTATAGTATATGAATTATGTTTGTTTACTATTGAAACTTTATTTCCTAATATATGATGATTGTTCTAGAAACCTGAATAAGAGATTAGATTTATCTTTTAAAATCAGGGCTGTGGAGTTGCGTGAAAATCTACCGACTCCGACTTTTCCTTACCATCCGACTCCGACTCCAGCTAAAACTCCACGACTCTGACTCCACAGCCCTGTTTAAAATTAAAATCAGTTTATTCCATAATACTTTGCTTTTTTGTCTGAGGCCCATTGCATTAAGGATTGTTTTGACTGAGACCCATTGACATTAGATTGTTTTATTAAAAACTGAACTTTTCTCACTTATTTATATGTAAAATCTTTATAAAATTTGCAGACATCTCTAACAAATGATAAATATGTAAATCATAAAATAAAACTTTTTCTCATCCAATCCCATAAAAACATAATTTTCAGGAATTTATATACACAATAGAAAGCAATAGAAAAATAGTAATAACTGTCAATTTCAGAAAAGCTGTAAGACATGGAAAAACAAAATAGTTCTTTCAAGTTCTAACTTTTGCAGGTTTTACTGTATTTCCCACTTTGCTCTCTGGATCTTAATTTGTGTAATTTTTAATTGTGGGGACATTTAAAAAAGCATTGGTTTATTGAGGACCTGTTGCAAATTTAGTAGTCTTGAAAGACAGTATCATATTGCATCTGAGAAGCATCACAAAGAATCAATTATGGTCAGCTGTTGAAGACATTGTTTATTGTTTCAGGTTTTACATATTCAGAACAAGGACTACATTGAGCAGCATTGAACAGTCTCTGTACAGCATGAGGGGTTTTTACAAATTAAATTTTTGTTGCTGTAGTAGTGCCAAAACACGATGATGAGTTGCAAGTCATGACATGTTAAAATACCAGATTTAGTTGAATTTAGATTGCTGAATTTCTAGGCAGCATTGAATAGGGGCTGTCCATAAATTACATAAGAGCGATTTTGGCCATTCTATACCCCCACCCACCACTGTGTAAGAAACTGTAATATTTTCTTTGATCCCCTTCCCTATCTTATGTAATGTTTTGGCATGATTTTATAGAAAGATTTTAACCAAAAAAAATTTTTTTATGAAACCCTAAAAACATTAGGTCCAAAATATATAATTATTAAATTAATTAATTAATTAATTAGTTAATTGTAATTAGTTAATGTACTATTATTTATAAAAGACTTTGTGAACAAATTTAAAAATATAAAAATTTAATGAATTCGAATGAACAATTCATTTTAAGAACTTTATTTTTTAATTATTGACAATATTATTATTATCATTAATCAATGTCATAATAATTATTTTTATATTAATTTTAATTTTCGCAAAAGATGCAAAAAACTTTGCCAGATCAACTAACTAAAGCACATGTAAACAGAAGTGTCATATAAAATAAAACAAGAGAGAATAGAGAGAAACCACATTCTGTTACCATATTGATTACATCTTGGCTAAGGCCAAGAAAATAAACTACATGCTGCTAAAATGTGCTAGGTGCACCTGGGGACTAAATAATAATAGCTTATAAAACTCTATATAATGGGGCAATACAACCAATGCTACTTTATGCAGCCTCTGGCTGTGGTCATGTAACTAGTAAAAATTCAGTAGGAAGTAAATTACTCTCTCTTCAAAGCCAGTTTGACATCAGTATTTCAAAGTGCTGCAGAACTGTTTTTACTAAAATGCCTCTCTGATACTAGCAGAGCTCCTTCCTTTGCCACTATGTATTGTAGAAAGGGTTCTAAACTACTACATCAGAACTACAGACATCAAGGCTCAACAACGGTCTTTACTCCTATCTACGGCTGTTCATATGCTACCAAATTGCAATTACCCTACTATCTCTGATCATCATTCTGTAAACAAGGTTATTTGGTGCCATCTGCTTCCTCCATGGATAATCATGCAGACATTGACATCTACACAGATGGGTCGATGAGCTCCCTTCTTGTCAGCTCAAATATCTATCTTTTTCCAAACTGACATATTTTGCCAAAAATTATGTTAGAAGGTACAGATACCTCCCACATACCTCCATCTATCAAGATGAAGATGCTGACTACCAAACTGTTCAGTGGACCACATCACTACTAAACAAAACTCTGTCTATCAAACTTAGTGATTCTCAGTCTGTCCTAAAAGTTGTATTAAATCCCAATGCAATAGCAATAAAATCACATATATCCAGCACCATATTAAAAATCTTGTAAATAAGATAACTTTTATATTTGTTCTTGGCATACTGGCATACTAGGAAATGAAAAAGCCAACTTTGAGGCTAAGTCAGCTGCAAAGGACACTGATTTGGACTATACTCACATCCCTCTCTAATGTAGCAGTCTTAAAAATTATATTCATGACAATGCTGTGCAAAAGTGGAATCAATAAAAGTAGTTGAGCAATAAAACTGGTAGAATAATAAGACTTTATTTTCCTAGTGTTGAATGTTCTCATCACTACTTAGCGATTTAACGTTTGCTACTATTCAACTATTTACTGAGCATGGTAATTTTAGAAGCCAGCTGGCAATGTATAGAGGAAAAGGTGGTATTATGGAACCCTTCCATTTCAAACTGATGATAATGGCGAACTGTAGCGGATTGTGGCTGAACTGCACTAGGCAGACATCCAAAGCAAGGGGAAAACCAGTTTCACATCAGTTAAACGGTTGTCCATAGTAAATCAGCATATTTGTTTTTTTTCAAAATTTGAAAGTTTTGAATGGTAAGTGAATTTAATTATTTTTAAAATATAAATCGTGTAGTTGTAGGTTCACTGGGGCATGTATTCCGTTCCAGAGACTTAGGGGTACATATTCATCTGTGTGATAATCACATTTTTTAAAGTTTGGTCTTCACAGACATAAGTTAATTCAAGATGGCGATGCGTGAAATATGGACCCTATTGGTGCTTTTAATATGGAACCCAACTCCTCCGAACTCTCTCTTTGCAAGCAGACATTTGTACAGAGCAATTTGTGAAAAAGACACTAGCTAGAAAGCCAATTCTTCCTGAGAATACCAAAAAAAGAGCTGCTGGAATATATATTGTTGGAGGTCATATTTTTCTATTATAAAAGCATTGTTTTGATAAAATACATTGGAGTAAATAATTTTGTAATTATTTAACATTCTTTGTACTTTCCTATTTGTTTTTGGATACATTAAAGCATTTTTTGAAAATATACAGTAGGGTTCCATATTACCACCTGGTTTTCCCTAAGCCTACTTTCTGACTTTTTGTACAGAAGCCTTCAAAAACCATACTTATAATTACACTAGTGAAAAATTAGGAACATTTAGTTTAATAGTTACCAGTACTTTTCACACAAAAAATGTGGGTGTAGTTATGATACCTTGTTTACAATTCACTATAATGTAATTGGGGTTCCATAATACCACCTTCTCCTCTAACTGGCAGAAACTGCTTCTTGCTTTTGCTCTACAGAAAACCTAGACACCGTCGACCATATGATCTGATTGTCCAATTTACGATCAAGATAGACTTATTCTGAAATTAGAAATTTTTATGCTTGGTTTCAGGTGGTCAAGTCCACTCAATAATCTTGTTCAGAAACCACTGTTAGATGCTTTTTACAATTATTTTCAAAAAATATGGAAGAAAAGACTATTTATAATTTCTAGTTTTACATTTTAGTTTTCACTAAAAGCCGAATACTAATTTTATGTTTACTTTGTATCATGTATTTTGGTTTATGTATTCTTAATGTTATACAACCCATAGTAATGATGCACTTATTCTAATAAAAAACAAGAGAGAGAAACCACCACATGGTCTTTCTCCCATGACAAAAAATGTGTAGAGCGTGAATCTGCTAGTGTTATTACTCTATCACATCATACGAGACAATGAATGTTCTTAATAAAAACTGCCAAATTGAAGTCAAATTCAAAACGCCACCACTCAACGAGGTAAAAAGATAAGAATATTATGTAAGATGAGATCTATAACCCCCTACCCCTGAGTAAGAAATTGTAAGAAATCCTTGATCCCCCCCACCCACCCCAAAATACCTTATGTAATTTATGGACAGCCCCATAAGGTACTTTAATTTCAACTGGTACATTTAAGAAGAAAGTACTATTAACAAATGAAAAACTTTAAAGTTTGTAATATTTTTAAAATGTTAGATATAATCATTATAATTTTTCAGTTTTAATAAGATTATAATCTTACAGGTCAACCTATAAATCCTTGGTCAAGAATTTATCCAGAAGAAATGATCCAAACTGGAATATCAGCAATAGATGTAATGAACAGTATAGCAAGAGGGCAAAAAATTCCTATCTTTTCTGCTGCAGGTTTGCCTCATAATGAGGTAATATATATTAAACATATTGAATATAAAAGATATTTTAAAATATTTATTACATCTGATAATCAGAATTACAGAAAAAATTGAAATTTTTAATTATTAGAGAGGTTGAGGCGCACGTTTTAAACGTGTAAACGTGTACGTGTGACGTTCGGCGCCGCTTTCCCGTAAGCCTAAAAGTTTGACAATGGTGTTTGGATAGTCGGTGGAATCACGCTCGACAGTCCATACACCATCGTCAAACTTTTAGGCTTACGGGAAAGCGGCGCCGAACGCCACACGTACACGTTTACACGTTTAAAACGTGCGCCTCAACCCCTCTATTAATTGAATCAAAAGAAATAATTTCATATTATTCACAATACAAAGAAATTCTTTAATTAAAAAATCTATTCATATTGTGGATAATGAAATTATTCCTGTTGATGTAATTTCCACAAGGTAAAGTAAGAAAGATAATTCAATAGTATTATTTGAATAACAACAACATATTTTATTTTGTGTGAGAGAAATGCTTTAATAGAATATGTATAAACAGTGGTTACACAAGTTTTTAAATACTTTTGAGTTATTTCAATTATTCTCAATAAAGGAAATTTGAATAAGAACTCATTGCTAAGAGAAGTTTATAGAATGTTCAGATAAAATTGAATTAAGTGCAGAATAATTGTTTTATATTTAATGTTTTGTCTTTCAGTTCATTTTTGCTTTCCTAAGAATGAAAAAAATAACTTGAGAGGTGTCTGTTTATGTATATTGCATTAAAGCATCTCTCTTTGTTTTAATTGTGGCATTCTAACTCATCTTTATTCTATTTTAATATCTTTCTAATATGTTCCATTATTTTAGGAATATGTTTATAAATAATGTTCTGGCATATTCTGTTACAGTTTTAATAAATTAGCATTCTTTGAAATTTACTTTCCTATTGTGTTTTGATTCTTTTCTTAATAATTTTAAAGTTTTAAATTTTTAAATATTAACTAATTCAAAAATATGAATATTTATTTACAATTAACTATTTGTATTAAATATAGATAGCAGCACAAATTTGTAGACAGGGTGGTTTGGTCAAGCTTCCAGGAAAAAGTATTTTAGATGATCATCATGACAATTTTGCCATTGTATTTGCTGCTATGGGTGTAAGTATTAGAATATTACATTATTTGTAATCAATAAATAAATTAATTTAGAATTTATTTCATGAAATTTTTACTTTATTCATTATCTTATTACATTTATTTTGAAAAAGTATCATGCATATTATTATTTGGATAAATATTAACAAATAACAAATTTTCTTAGTAGAGTGGGATTCAAATTTGCATTCTGTTAAACAGTAACAGTATGATCTTTCTATCAATAATATGAATTCTTCTGTTAGATAACTAGATTAGTGGATTTTTGCATATTATATTTTCACTTAACTATCTGTATTCTTTTGCAGTTAAATTGTCAAAATTTTTATTGGAAATAATTTTATCATGTATAAAATTACATAATAGCACAATGTATTATATAATAATTAAATTGAATTTTTCCCAAGGTTAATATGGAAACAGCAAGATTTTTTAAACAGGACTTTGAAGAAAATGGTTCTATGGAAAATGTTTGCTTATTTTTGAATTTAGCCAATGATCCTACGTATGTATTATTATACTTTTATTGAATAATTTAATACATACTGAAAAAGATCTTTTAAAGATAATTAATTTTAAACAAATGTTTGTTGAATATGATTGGTTTGGAAGTAGAAATAATAAAATTACTTCTTTAATTAATAAATTAATTTAATGTAGTTCTGTACATTAAAAAAGTGGGTTGTGGCTGTGTTGGGGACACAGCCCTGTGTTTTACGTGAATATGTTGTTGGGAGACTATAAAATGACTTACACATATAAGATTAACGGTAACAAAAAGAGAGCTTTATTTTACATCTGATCAGTTCGAAGGCAGCAGAGCAAGTGGTCACCAGATGGACAATGTGTTTACATAATGGGTGTACGTTATGTCACCCCTCTGACACCTGACCAAGGGTTCACACATTTTAGGTGATTTACTACAGGGTGGGAGAAGTTCCACGAAACTGCTACAAAACAATACTACAAATCCCCCCTTTTTGGGGAAGTTTCGTGGTTACATTTTAATTTCATTTAATACAATATTCATTTCACATTGATTCTATCCAAACAGATTTTTAATTTAAGCGCGTTTAATGGTTTTGTCAAAAAATCCGCCGACATTTCTTCCGTCGGGATGTATTTAATAAAAACATTACCTGATTTAACGTTTTCGTGTACATATGATATTTTTCTCACTACATGTTTCGTTTTGTAGTTAGGACTTCCGTTGTTGATTAGACTTATCGCAGCTTGATTATCACTATAAATTGCAGTTGTTTTGTTAGAATCTCTCCCTCCTAATTCATTTAGGATCATTTTTAACCATGTCGATTCTTTTGTAGCCTCGGTCAATGCCGTCAATTCACTTTCGCATGTCGATAACGCCGTTTGGTTCTGCTTCTTGCATTTCCACAATACGAGATTCTGTTCGAGTAGAAAAAGATATCCACTATTCGAACGTTGACCTACATTCCCATCTTTCCAATTAGCATCTGCGTATCCGAATAAGTTGTTGTCTTGGTCGCGTTTGTATATGATTCCCTTACTTTGGGTTCCTTTTAAATATCGTATCAGTCGTTTCGCTGCTTGGATATGCATTTCCTTTGGATTTTGTGTGTACTGTGACAGTTCGCTGATCGGCTGACACAAATCGGGTCTCGTTGTTAAACTGATATACATCACACTTCCCAAAATTTCTTGGAAAAGTTTCTTATTTCCGCAAGGCGATCCTTCGCTATCGTCTAATTTTTGGTTAGGATCCATCGGCGTGTTTACTGGTTTACAATCTTCCATTTTAAATTTTTGGAGTATCTCTTTTATTTGTCTCTGTTGCGTCAGTTTTATCCCATCTTTGAATTTCGTTATTTCGATTCCTAAAATGCATTTAGGGTCTCCCAGGTTAACTAAGTCAAAATATTCCGCGATTTTTGCCATAGCTTCATGTTCGATTCGCTCATTCGAAGATATTCTTATCATATCGTCAACGTGTAATCCTAAGTATAGAATGTGTTCGTCTCGTTGATATTTAAATGCGCATGGATCAGCTTTTAATTGTTCGAAACCGTTTTGACACAGGTGATCGGTAATCGTCTTAAACCATGTTCTTCCAGCCTGTTTTAAGCCATAGATAGAGCGATTTAGTTTGCATATTTTCGACTCGTCTCCTTCTTTAATGAATCCCATCGGTTGTTCCATATATATGCATTCGTCCAAATTACTATGTAGGTAGGCTGTTTTAACGTCGTATTGGCTTATTTTCCAGTTCTTTTGTGTTGCAATTACTAATAAGATTCTTAGCGTTTCCAATTTCATCACAGGTGAAAATGTCTCCTTGTAATTAATTCCGTACTTTTGGGAACATCCCAGGGCTACTAGTCGGGCCTTTTTCGCATTTACAGATCCGTCCGGATTCTTTTTGTTTTTGTATACCCATTTTGATTTTATAACATTGGCGTTTGGTTCTCAGTCTACTAGGTCCCATACTCTGTGTCCCATCAGTGATTGATATTTGTCTTTCATAGCTTTCCACCACGATTTATGTTCTCGACAAGTGATTGCTTCTTTAAAGGTAGTTGGCGTGAAATCTTGTGTCATGTTTACTGCATCTGTATCATCCCACTTTTCTGTATCGGAGAAATTTTCGTCATAGTTGGGTCTGATTCCTTGTTGGATTTGCTCCCTGATTCTTTGTGATCTTCTAGGTATTTGAATTTGGGTGTCCTCGCTTTGGGTAAGGTTGGGTTCTTCATTTGTGACGATTTCGTCATTGGGTCTATCCTCGTTCCTAATTCTTTCCGCATCTACGGGTGTGGGATCATTGTTTTCATCCATATCGCCTAAATCCATTTCTATCCAAGAATTTGTTTGTTTTTCTCTATTAGTTTCCCCGTCTGACTTGTCTAATAATTCACTTCCTAATCGATATTCCATGAACTTAATGTCCCTGGTTTCCTCCACCTTATTTGTTTTTGGGTCATACACCCTGTAGGCTCTTCTGATTCTCGAGTATCCTATAAATATAACTGGTCTTGATTTCGGCTCAAGTTTGTTTCGTTTTACCTTTGGAATCCACGCGTACGCTAAGCATCCAAAAATTCGTAAATGTGATGCTGAAGGTTTATTTCCAGAGAATAATTCCTCGGGAGATGCTTTCTTCTCTAGTTTTGCGGGTGTGCAGTTCTTCAGATATGTCGCTGTTCGTGCAGCTTCAGCCCAGAAGATTTTGGGTAGTTGGCTTTCTATGAGTAAAGCTCTTGTTCCTTCGAGAATTGTCCTGTTGGCCCTTTCGGCTATCCCGTTGCTTTGCGGCGAATATACTGTCGTTAATTGATGTTGTATTCCATGTTTGTTACATATATGGATGAAATCTCGGTTTACGAATTCAGTTCCATTGTCCGTTCTGATCCGCTTTATCTTGTTGTTTGTTTTGTTTTGCATCGTTTTTATGAAGAGTTCTAGCATATCTGCTGTCTCATCCTTTGAAGTTAGGAAATTTGTAAATATTTTTCGGCTATAGTCATCCACGATTGTCATCATGTATCTGTCGCCGGTGAGTGATTCAACAGGCATCGGTCCTACGAGATCTATGTGAAGTAGTTCCAGAGGGTGTTTCATCTTATTATTCTTAGTTTCTTTGAAGGGTTTTCTAGTATGTTTTGCCTGTATGCATACTTCACATTGAACCATTTTTGTTTCCTTGTAGTCGAGCCCTCTAAGCAAGTTTTGATTTTTCATTATGTCGAGGTATGTTTCATTTACGTGTCCCAGTCTTTTATGCCATAGAAATTTTTCGTTCCTTTCGAGCTCATCAGTGATAACCTGTTTAGCGGAATTTTGTTCATCAGTCTCTAGAATAAAAAAGCCATTTTTTCGTGTTGCTTTGGCTATTTGTTCGTTATTCTTGGAAATGATTTTCCCTCCTGTTTTATCCAGAATGATTGTGTAGTCATCCTCAACCAATTTGTTTACCGAGAGGAGATGCCCATCCAGCTTTGGAACATATAGGACGTCTTTTAGTATTATGGGCATATTGTCTTCCATCACCGTTCCTCTTCCATTGGCATATATGTGGTCTTTACTGGCTACTCGAATACTTCGTGTATCTGGGTTCATATCTTTTATCCAGTTTTTATTTGATGTCATATGTGACGAAGCAGTGGAGTCGATAACCCATTCTTCTTCTTTGTTAGCTCCTTTGTCTCACGTGAACCAAGCTCTTTCCGGAGGCTTAGCATCGACGTAGCTGACTTTGGTTTCTGATTTTTCTCTTCTAGTTTTTGCTCCGACGTCATGCGTGCGATTGCAATATCGGTCGTTCTTCTGTTTGTATTTCTGCGAGTTTTCTGGATTGTACCAGCATGCTGAGGATTTGTGTCCGAATTTTCCACAAGTGAAACATCCTTTCTCTTTTACGTATTTGCCCCTTTGGGATCTTGAACGAAAAGCCGATTCGCGTTCATTGTATCGGGAAGTGCTTGCTCTGTCTTCTTCCTTTTGGAAGGCGTACTCTAGATCGTTCATCGTCGCGTCCTTTATGCTTTCGAGTTTTCGAGCGATATCATGGTATTTAGGGGGCAGTCCGTCGGTTATTAAAGTTATCAATTCCGTTTCTTCCATTCCTAAATTTACCATTTTGGCTTCTTCATTTAGTTCACGAGCCCTTCTGATATATTCCTTCCAATTTTCGTCTTTCTCCATTTTTAATTTCGAGAGCTTTGATTGACACATTTTTCGCTTCGTGTCTAATCGACCTTCGTATCTCCGTTCTATGTCTTCCCAAACATCGCGTGCAACGTTTAGATTCAAAATTAGACTAACCTCATGTTCTTCCATTGTGCATGTGATGATTCTAAGAGCTTCGCTGTTTTTCTTTCTCCATGTGTCATAGGCTGCCTTATCTTCCGGAGCGGCTGTTTCTCCAGGAATTTCTGGTTTGGGTCTTTCGAGTACCTGCATCAGATCTTGGCCTTCCAACAGATTCTTTAGTTCGATCCATTTAACTTGGGTATCGAGCTCAGCCCTTTTGCTTTCTTGGCCATCTTTCTTTTGTTCTCTCAATACCTTTCTTCTTCGGAAGCCTTAGTCGAAAAACTTAGGAGATCACTTGGGTGACTTATTCCTTAAGCGTTTTCTGAGTTTCCTGGGTTGTCTGGGCCCATAACCGATTGTTGGGAGACTATAAAATGACTTACACATATAAGATTAACGGTAACAAAAAGAGAGCTTTATTTTACATCTGATCAGTTCGAAGGCAGCAGAGCAAGTGGTCACCAGATGGACAATGTGTTTACATAATGGGTGTACGTTATGTCACCCCTCTGACACCTGACCAAGGGTTCACACATTTTAGGTGATCTACTACAGGGTGGGAGAAGTTCCACAAAACTGCTACAAAACAATACTACATATGTGTACATTAACGGGTAATGTTTTCTTTGAGCGTATTATATGTATGTCATAATCATTCCTTAACAGTAAGAAGTCCTTTGGATCTCCATGTTTTTTTACATTTCCGGCACTGCTTCACTCTATCATATGGTGTTTATGGTATCACTAGATTGCTCTTGAGAAGCCTTTCCAACCATATACGATTTCTATATTTTGATTTGGCTTTTCAGCGAGTATAGGCTTGACATTGTATTAAGTTTTCTTAATTTTTAACTTTAACACCATATATATTCACCATAACTATTCCACACTAATGTTTTGTGTACACAATTGATAAATATTGACAAGAGTTGTAAATTGAAACTGAAACGAGCATCATAGCTTCTCAGAAATGGAAAGTATGTGACGTGGCAAAACGACCTCAAAATGGGGGTGCTCCGCCCTCTTCTGCGCGCAATGCATCACAGTCTCCACTCAACATAATGAATTCTTTGATCCTTTAACTATCGAGTGGTGTAATTAAATTTTGGATGTAGATGATAGATATGTATTTGCAATGCCAAACTGTATCCCCTGATTTTGTTATCATCAGTTTTCTGAATTGCCTCCCACTACAGAAACAAATTAAAGACATCAAAAAAATTTCAAAATATTACATATAAACAAAATCATTAATTACACTAAACTGGAACAGTTTAAATGACAAATAAACATACCTTATATTTCTAGCAAATAATTTAACAATTGTTGCAAATATTTTCAAACTAAACTTAGTTGATAGGTCTTGCTCAGGCTCCAATAGAATAACTACAACATTAAAAAAAAAACATACTTTGGAATAACCAAATAATTCAAAATATAGAATGTTGTCTTGAAATAAACTTGCTTTAAATACAAAGATTTGAAATTTAGAATATTAAATACATTTTAAATTTCAGTAAATATTAAATTGAGGGCTTGTATTGAATAACAGTGCAAGTGTTAAAATAGTTAAATTCAGATTTTTAATAAACTTTGTGCTGCAAAATGATGCAATGTATGGTATCTTTACTAAAAAGAATTTAACTGGTTACTATGAAAAATTCTTTCCACTTTATGAACTACATGAAAAAATGTTATGTGCATACAAGATGGTGGATGAGCAGATGTTTAGTCTCACCTTTTCAGAGCTACAAAAGCAAAATTTAAGAAAGAGAAGGCATTATTAAATGGAAAATTGGAATCATAAGAAGTCAAAAAGCAGAGGGAGTCAGGAAATGAATATTTGTCATGCAGTGGACAAATTAATCAGGCTGTAAAGTTTCCAAGTGATGTGAGTGAAAAAATGTTGCATGCAACATAATGCAGATGTCACATGGAGCATGCAATGGAGGGTGACAAAAAGGATCTTCGTATTTTAGAAAATTTTTTTCAGACCAAAGTGTCTGATAATTACCTTGGTGATGTGAATTTAGATTATGTCCAATAACCCTACTGTCATTAGATGCTACCATGGTGTTTTACAGCCATGAGATGCATTTTCCCTACTGCTGTTGAAGAGAAGTTGGGCACACAAGGAAATTCTGAATCACTTTGATGGCCTCCAGAACATCCATTTATCATGTGCATAAATTAGGCTATTTCCAATGAAAAATGCCAAAGAGGACTTATTTTTCATATGCAAGTTTGAGTATTTATAGATCTTTTATAGATCTCTGAAATCTGATGACAAAAGTAATAATACTGAGTAAATCCAAATAAAACATGACTTTCCATTTGATAATCTGTGCTTTCATTAAAAGTATTTTCATGCTCAACTAGTGAGAGCTATTATGTCGCAAGCAATATATATATATATATAATTTTTTTTTCTATTGGCATTTTTTTGTTAAGTGCCCTGAAACATGCTGCTTATAAAATCATGTTTCATAAATAAGAATTCAAACATCAGAAGAGAAATATGTATTTTAAAGACAGAACCCCACTTTGAAACCAAAATATATTGAACTATTAAAATGTTTATATGCAAATTTTTTCCATTTACAGAGAGTGCTTTATCATTGTTTTCTAAAGTATTTCATTATGAAAATGGTCTAATTTTTTATAGCAATGTCATTCCTACATCTTTAACTGAAATCAGTCATTGTTTCAACTGCTCCAGTGCAATTTAGGAATTTTTCAGTTTTGTACTTTTATATGGCAAAATTTTATATGGCAAAATGTCATTTGTGTGTTCATTTTATAATTTATCACTTAAAATTTTCATTTAGAAGGTTTTATTAAGTTAATAGTAAAAATTATTATTATTTCAATAAAATTATCATTCTTATTTAAGAATTTCTCTTTCTATTATTGTATCTATTAATAAGTTTTTTAAATTTTCATATAAAAATTTAAATAAGTTATTTAAATATAATTTTTGTAAGAACACAGTTTCAGAAAAGACAAAGTAAACATATATAAAGTAAACAAATTTTTAAAATTATGAGCTCTTTGTTCTATATACATAAAAATTTAATTTTTTTCCTTTCCCAATTATAAAAAGTTAAGAAATATGCTTTCTTAGATTATTTTATGTAATGGGAAAGATTTTAAGAAATTTTAAAACATTTAATTTATAGAATAAATAATTAAGTGAAATGATGAACTAAGAGCTTGAAAATGGGAGGAGACAGATTAGAGTCTTGCATTTACAACTTTTAAAGATTTTGGAGCTAAATAAATTGAATATTATAGAATTTCAAACTCTAATCATTAAACTTTAAAAGCAAACTGGATTGCAGTTTTATTCATAGAATTTCATGTAAAAAGAAATAGTATATTTCACTTAATTATATTTTAATTTAGTTTATATTATGTCAAAAATATTAAAATAAAAATAAATTAAAATAGATCAAATTTTAATTAATATATATTATTTTAAAATATATATATAGTAATACCCCAAACTTACGCAATAGGTGGAACCGAGCGGTAACTGCGTAAGTCGGGGTATAATTTCGCATATAAATACATACAAATAATTTTTAATTGGGGCCGGAGACTAAAGAAAACAATAATTTAGAAAAAAAATGTTTAATAAAATCTTAGATAATACATATGTATAACAAATTAGGCCTATATTATTTTACAATTTTTCACATTTACTTGATTATTACGCCATAATTTTAACATTGTTTCCATCTCAGCGATAATACTGTGATGTTCACGAATGATGCTTGAATTTAAAGATTGAGCATTTTTCACAGCTTCGAGAATTTTTTCTTTGTTTTTTATAATTGTTCTGACCGACAATTCTGGTAGATCAAACTTCTTTGCCAATTCACAAATTTTCATTTTTGTATGGAAGTCTTTAATAATAGGTAGGTTCGTAGTCAAACGAGTTAAACGCGTTAGTAACGAATTGTTCGAAAAGTCTAATGAAATAGGAATAACGATGATGTCATTCTCGTTTAATTCGTTTGACTTTACGAACATATCCAATGTTAACTTTATATTCCAAAGATAAAGTTTTTCTTTTCTTGTTTGATGCAGAAGAATTAGTTCTACTTTGTTTGGATGACGTAGTAGAGTCTCTCAAGTCTCCGTAGATATAACAAACACAGAAATAAATAACACAAAATAAATTGTATCTATGTGTTGATTCTGCGCGACATATCTGAACATGTAAGCTGAACAATAGTGTGGGGGGAGTGAGCAATCAAGGGTTGCGTGGCACTCAAACAAAAGACAAATCGACGAGATTTGAAAATCGCGTAAGTCAGGGTATTGCTGTATATGAAACATTAATAATAAATTATGAGGGTAAATCAAAAAGTAAAGGCAATTTATACATAATTCTAATAGTTCAAATCAGAAAGATGCAAGTTTCTTTGATGATGTGAAAAATTGATCATTGCAAATGATCCATTTGCTCAAATTTTTTTTCTGATCAGTAGTCAAATTTAAAATTTAAAAAAGAAATTGTAATTTTTCCACATTGTTTAAACAATCACTCAAGAAATGGCTAGAAACATTCAGAAATGAGATGTCAATGAAGATTATTAATTAAAGATTAAGAAGATTGAAGATTATTATTATTGTTTTGAAATTCTTAGGTAATCAGAAATACACTTCATTCAAGAAAATAAATTACTGCTTTTGTTAGTGATGACAGATAATATATCCATCATCAATATCTGTAGATACTAAAAAAATGCATGAATGACCTAATAAGCAACCATAAATGATGTTTTTTTTAATTATATTACTTTAGGAAACAATAAACTGTGAGAAATGTAGAAAAACAACAGAATTATGTTGGGAAGTAATACTAGATTTTTTACACATTTTCTTTGATTTAATAAAAATAGCTTTCATTAATTGATCTATTTTTGTAATTTAATAAAAAAATTTTGTCTTAAAAAGTAATATTCTAATAATTTCTTTTAATAGTATTGAACGTATTATTACGCCACGTCTTGCTCTTACAACTGCTGAATTTCTTGCTTACCAGTGTGAGAAACATGTATTAGTTATTTTAACTGATATGTCATCTTATGCTGAAGCTTTGAGAGAGGTAAATATTTTTAATAAATTATTAAATGTCTAATTTAAAAAATATTTTGTATTTTAAGTGCAGCTATAACCAATATTAAAGAAAATTTGATTATCTTTCCCTTAAAAAGCTATCAGAGCCTGTACTTCAATCACTAATCAAATGTGTACTGTGGGAGTATCTCAAACCTAAGTGATTTTAAAGATAGAATATCACAACATGTGCAGAGCATTACTCCTGATTCATTACATTCCATAGTTGAGCACACTGTGCACTACCTGGAATACCAGTATGTACCATAGTCTAGCACAATAGATATACCAGTATTCTGGAATCTGAAGTAGATCATCAGTGCCAAGTGACAGCATAACCATATTAACTGTGACATTTTCCAATAAATACTGATATGCCATAAGTTTTTCACCTTAATTCTTTCTTTTTGTATTACACATTACATTTCAAACTTTACAGCATCCTCTATCGGCAATTATTTTTTCTTGTTCCATTCTTCCCCCTTCTTAAATAGTAAGTGTACCAACTTGGGTTTTATTTGGGTTATTCCTTCAAGCTACTGATAGTTCCAAATAAAGATACTTATTTTATAACCACCTGGTATATATATATATATATTTGTTGTTGAAAAAGTTAGCAGTTCTGTTTAAAAAGTTTGAAATTTTGTGTGTTTCTAATTATAATTAATTTTTATTTTAAGTTAGAATTTCTGGAAGAAAAGAATCAACCTGGAGCAGGAATCAAAACCATAACTTCTGCTTCTGTGCAAATGTGTTTCCAGCTGCACTACCCTGACCTCCATTGAATCTTTGGTGTCAGAAGTATTTAGATATAATCATATGCATCACTCACAATACCAACTTGGAATGACTAAGTGCCAACAGCCCTCCTCCAATACTTTAGATATAACCACACAATTTACTCTTTTTGGTTATATCTAAATTAATAGTTCTGGAAGAGAAGATCAGATGGAGGTTTGACTAGCATAACTGGAATGCACTTGCATAGTAAGCAGAAGTTGTGGGTTTGAGTCCCAATTTTGGCTGAATCTTTCAGGAATTCTGGGCTGGGCTTGGCTGATAAGATATAATTAGTATTGTAATAATAATAATTAGAATGACCAGAAACAGTGGAATAGCACTAATTTGTTTTTGAAATTTGTATACATGTATGAAATATATAAATTGTTTATTAAATAAAAGTTTAATATTTGATCAATGATAAAATTGTACTATGGTAAATATTTGTTAATTCTAAAGCTGAAACTTTCTTCTAAATACTAAAATTCATACCTTCCTTTCACTTTCCAGCATTCACAGATTAAAAATGAATGTTTTCGGCTACCTTTAGTGGTCTGCGCAGGTTAAGCAGATTTTGTATTGAACATGTATTTAGGAAGGTGTGAATTTTAGTATCTACAGTAAATAACAATGTGAATTGAATTGATTAGATGTAATATTTATCATTGTATCATATTCAATTAAATCATTGCTCTTTAGATAATTTGTGTGTGGATAATATTAATTTTCATTGGTTGATTGGTTATCATTATTTTTGTTATATTTTTAAATTGAGTATGATGTTAGCAAAGTGTTTGCAGATATTATGAAAAATTCTTAACTATAATTTGAATAAAAATATTTGAAAATTATTTGTTAGTTGAATTTAAAAATTATAGTTAAACTTTTAAATTCCTCTTTCAGAGATTTTTTTTCTTGTAGATTTTATGTATTCATTATACTGTTCATCTTAAGTATAAAATGTATTCTCTTCATTTTTCATATTTTTATTCTAATTGAAAAAATAATAATTAGGTATCTGCAGCAAGAGAGGAAGTACCAGGTCGTAGAGGTTTTCCAGGTTATATGTATACAGATTTAGCTACTATATATGAACGAGCAGGTAGAGTAGAAGGAAGAAATGGTTCCATTACTCAAATTCCAATTTTAACTATGCCAAATGATGGTAGGTAATATTTTATGAAGTTCTAATTTTAAAATTACACTTTAAAATTATTTTAAAGTTTTTTTTTATAACGTAAATAATTTTGTAATTTTAATCTACAAGAAAAATTTAATTTTGTAATTTAGAATTCACATAGTATTTTGTCATAAAGTGAGTCATATCTTTTAATTACCTTCAAATAAATTTAGTAGTGCAGGAAGTTTGTATTGCTTTTTTTCTAGTAACAAAATTAAAATTGTTTTCTCTGTCATATATTTTATATTATTTTCCTAAAATCTTCATTTATCAGTCAGCTAACTCAAGAAATGTTTGATAAAATTTAAAATGTTAAGAATAAAAACTGTTCTAAATGTGATTTTGTAGATCTTTAAGTTTATTATACAGGAGCTTCCCTACTTATGAATATTCAACTTATGAAATTTTATACAAATGAACAATTTGACTGTAAGTCTAAAATTTAAATTTTGTTTGGATTCTGAAGTTCTCTTGCCATTCATGGGGTGGTGTTGATGTCAATCTAGTCAGTAATAAATTTTAATAAATAAATAATGTAGATATATTTCTATTACTTGTAATCATTTTTCATTTTCACACAAATACAAACTTTCCATTGCCACTTGTGAGATAGCATCAAAGTTGGAATAATGATTTTTTCACTATTGTTTTGCAATTTTTATAAACTTTTATAATTAGTACTTCAAAAATGCATCCACAATGTAATAGTAAATTAGCAGTGGAAATAAATACAAGAAGTATTGTTCTATTACCATGGAAACTAAACTTGATGTTATATAACTAAGTGCATTAGGTGAAAAAAACCACATTTGAAACATTTGCTACTAAGCAGTAGTGAGCAGGAAAATGAGCATAATGTATTCTATTTAGTACATTGAAGGATCAAACATTAACAATATGTGGTTATTCTGTGTATAGTTGTACTTTCTAGGTTGGTTTTCAACTTATGACAAATTCTCAAGAGTCTAGCATAAGTAGGGGAGCACCTGTATTTTTTTTTTTGTCCAAAAAGTTATACTTTTTATACAAATTGATGCTTATAAATGACCATTATGTCAAAACTGCCATCAAATTTAAGTGGTATAAATATTTCAAGCGTCTGTAGAAAAAAATGTAAATTTTTTATAGCCATTTATATTATTTTCTTTTGAAAAGGAACATATATGTTAATTTTTATTTTTTTTTGTATGTGTATATATATATATGTGTGTGTATAAATTGCAATATTTAAAATGTGTGTTGTTATATTTATTTATTTATTTTAACCATTAACAGATATCACACATCCTATTCCTGATCTTACTGGTTATATTACAGAAGGTCAGATCTATGTTGATAGACAGTTACATAATCGTCAGGTAACCTTTATTAGTTATTTTAAAAATTTATTGCTATTTCTTAGTACATTTGCTTATTATTTGATGATGATTTTTATATTTTGAAAGTTTCATTGAAAAATTTTATTTTAATACAGTAGAGCGTCGATTTTCCGAATCAATTGGGGACTGGGGTTGTTCGTATAACTGATATTTCAGATAACCGATTTGTGTACGAAAAAATAGTTTAACGTATCCGATGTTGAAATTTCTCTCCGTTACGTGTCGCTTCGCGTTGAATTTTCGTCGATGTTAAGCCTAACAAAGACTATTGTATCATTAAAAATTATTTTTGTATTTTGTGCAAACAAAATAAATATATTGAAAAATATAAAAACAATAAAAAAATTATACTTCAGATGTTAATTTAGTATCAAAAACGTAAAATATTTGAGTAGCTCAAGACATAACCAAAGATTGAAGCGCCACAGCACTGGCGAAAATTTAAATTTGCCGACTGGAATTCTTTCGGATGATTGACTTTCGGAAAATCGACGCTCTACTGTAATATCCATATTTAGTAAGATTACAAATATAAACATTTTTTAACCCAACCTTTTAATATTAATGCCAAACAATTGCTGGATTATATCAGGCTGTATTAATGCTATTATAAATAATTAAATGTTAAGTAATTTGGTTTAGAGGTATGAATTAAGCACTATCTCTCAATAAATATCAACCATATTTAAATTAGAAGCTTCTGGAAGAAGAAAATTGGCCTGAAGTGGGACTCACTTCCACAACTCCTGCTTACTATGTGGTCACATTGCCAGTTATACTACCCAGACCTCTGTTTGATCTTTGCTTCCAAAACTATTTAGATATAATCATACTGGTTACTCACGGCACTGACTGGGGACACCTTCACTGTCAATGGCACTCAGCTGGCTATCACTTTACCCTGGTGTATATATATATACATACATACATACAAATATAAACATCAGTAACCAATATGGTTATATCTAACTTAATAATTCTGGAAGCAAAGATCAGACAGAGGTTCAGGTAGTGTAACTGGCAATGCGACTGCACAGTAAGTGGGAGTTGCAGGATTGAGTCCTGCTTTGGGCCAATTTTTTTTTAGAACATTCTAAATTAAATATTAAATATTAATTTAATAATAATAATTAAATTTATCAAGACCTAGTGCATAATGCATACCTCTAGGTCAAATTACTTAATATTTAATTATTAACAACAACATTAATATAGCCTGATAAAATCTGGCAATTGTTTGGCATTAATATTTGTAAAATTAATTAGTAATGCAAAAATCATTATTTAAACTATAATGTAGCCATAAATTTGACTTTTTCAATTACAGGTTGCATTTAAATAGTAAAACATATATTTATTAGAAGTTGATACTTCTTACTAAAATATATAAAATGAAGCAAATGTTAAGCTTATTCATTACAAAGAGTTAATAATAATTTTCACATAATTTAAATGGCAGTACATAAAATAATTACAATAAACTGGATAAAAACAAATGTAAACTGCATGATGACAATAATTTCAAATCTATTTCAAACTATTTATATAACTTTTAATGGTATTACACAATAGGAGCTCCAACACAGAAACTATTTATGCATTCTTTATTAATGCATTTGCAATGAATATTATATTTATGCATGAATGAATATAATATTCACAACTTTATATTTGCAAAGCTAAAATTTGTTTTGTTTTTATATTCATTAATCAATCAATTTAATAAACATCAGATAGACAATGAAGTGGTTTTTAATGTTTTTATCTTTGAACTTGTGGTGCATTTTCTGTTATTAGATTATTCTAGTTGGTACTTTCTTGTAGTTTTTCATATTATTTTAGCCTATCCATTTACACGAGTATGTTAACATGTTGTAAACATTGTAATTGTCAATACTGTTTTCTATGAATGGATTTTTAATCCTAACAATTTAAAATCATTATCTAAACAAAAATCTTCAAGTGATAAAATATTTTAAAAAATGCCAAAGAAAGTGATATTCTTTTAATATTTTAATTTTACCTTCAATCATTCACAGAGAGAAGAATCAGCAATTATGATTGCTCATTTGTCTATTATAAATAAATCTACCATAAGATGCATTAAGAAACAAAGCCAGATATTAGTAAAATGTGGTAGAAATCTTTCATTGAGGAGAAAGTTGCAAAGATTGTCAGAAATCTAATCTTTAAATACTTTCCACTTTTTTTCTTATTTTAATCATTTGAATTGAAGATCAGTCACTGAAGATTGTTACCTACGAAAAACATTTGTTTGATCATTTTATTACAAGTACTAGTTAAGATAAATGGTTTTTGAAGTTATTTGATATTTCTGAAGTAAGATTTGAAAATTTAAGAAAAGGAATGCTCTGAATAATTTAAAGATTGTAGGTGAGGAGTTTTAAATTTAAGAGAATAATTAAAGAATGCATATAGTGTCACTAGGAATTGTTGTATGATCAATATTACAAAACAGTTAACAGCTAATTAAATAATAATTGTGTGAAAATTGTATTTTATATTTTGGTTTGAAATAAAATAAAGAACTGTAGAAAAATAGTTAAAGGATTTGAAAAAGTACATGATTAGAAAATAAACAATCATTTTATACAATACATTTCTTTTCATATTTGTGGTTTCCATATTCTGGCAGTTTTGAAGAATGCCTCTGCAAGTATGGAGCATCTGCTATATAAAAAACATTATTGCTTTGACTATCAAAAGAAATATTTATATGCAGTAGATTAGAAAGGACAGGTGCAAATTTTGTGCTTTTGTTTGTATTTTATAGCATAAAACATTTAAGAACTTTACTAATTAATATTGTAACTGTTAAATTTATTATTAAGATGGTATGCTATATATTTTACTATATTGTTTTTGTATTACTGCAACAGATGATTTGATGCATAATATTTATTTTAAATTATCCAGAAAATCTAAAATGTAATTAGTAACCATTACTTTTGATTGAAAAATATTAAATATAGATAGCAACTTTTGTTTTTAAATTTATCTACATATAAGTAATACATAAAATATTATAAACTTTACGAAAAACAAAAATTAAAAGTTTATGAAGATATAAATGTAATTATATAGTGTGAATGCTGATTTACAAGTTTACCTCAACCTGAAAACTTACCATAAATAAGGACAAGCTTTTCTATTAATTTTAGTGTAGAATGTGAATCTTGTTTCAGTATAATCCATAACCTACCTTCCTTAAATAAAATTAAAGATCTACAAAGTATGTATTTACATATTAACCAATGATATGAAATAAATTAAAGTGAAGGACAGTAGTGATTAGATTATTGTGAAATGAAAAGGATGTAAAAAGAATTAATATGAAATGAAATAAGCAAATATCAGACAATCAGGAAAGAGTTGTCAGACAGTTCTTTAATTGTAAGAAAACATAAGTCTATTTAAGACGATAAGTGAACAAAAGACAAACTAATGTAAAATAAAATTGTTTTAATTAATAAAATTGTAATCACAGATAAAGGATCTGAGGTGTAGAGATAAAGTACACTAAACTTCATAACTATTTTGGAACAAAGACATAATTTAAATAAAAAAAGAAAAGACTGACTTAAGTCTGTGTGCCATTTAATTACAGTGTTTTTAGGGAATTACAGGGAATTTGTCTTGTTGCACTTATTATTAGACTATTTTGTTGTAAATATTGTTTGGTGCATGTTTCAAATATTTCATAAGTGAAGAAAAGAGATAAAGCAGTTTTTTTTAATCAAATATATCACTAATTCATTGTCCTGTGGACACTTAAGACTTTTATGCAAGCTTTTTATTGTTTGGCCAGGCCCACAATGGGACAGCTAGGTGGTGAGGAATGGAGCCCAGCATATTCAGAGGGACCATTCTAAAAAAATTTCTGGAGTTTTTCAACACATCTGATTCAATCCTGGGTCTCCAGAATGGTATGCTGCTTAATTGCTTGGTCATCTGTATTCAGTGTAAATAAATTATCACATTAGATAAAACACCTTGAGATGAAAATAAAGTTTACTTTTAAATTTGTTTACTTGAAATTCATTTCTGGCAAATAGTTGAAATATTTCATATTTTGATTTATCATAATCACCAGAGCATTGATCATTTGTGATTATTTCTATGATCATATATAATTGAAGAATTTTATATAATCAAAAATGTTAAATAAATATTTGGAATCTTTGAATTATAGAATAGGCATCTACAATACAACAATTTAGTGAATTTTTTATATTTTTAACGTGTAAACAAATCTGGTATATAAAACCACAAAATTTTTAACACTGTTTTTCTGTACTTACATAACTGATTAATACGGATGATGATTATATGCTATTAATGGATATACATATAGATATATTTTATTTTATCATTACATATTACTGATATATTTATATAATAATATATCCTTAATAGTACTTTTTCTAAAATTTAGATTTATCCACCCATTAATGTGCTACCTTCTCTATCTCGACTTATGAAATCTGCCATTGGTACTGACATGACAAGAAAAGATCATCCAGATGTTTCAAATCAATTGGTATATATTTTTTAATTATTGGTTAGTTTAAAATAAAGCTTATTAATTAAAAGGATATTTTATTTTTATATTAGTATGCTTGTTATGCAATTGGCAAAGATGTTCAAGCTATGAAAGCTGTAATTGGAGAAGAAGCTTTGCATTCAGATGATTTACTATATTTAGAATTTTTGTCAAAATTTGAGAAAACTTTCATTTCTCAAGGTAAAATAATGTTTTTTTTTACATTTTAATTTACAATTATAAGTTTGTTAATACAGTAAAATCTTGTTAATTTGAAGTTTATAAAGAGGTAAAAAAAAACCCAACTTTGAGTTAGTTTCAAGTTAACAAACTTAATACCCAATTTTCTCAAATTTTTCAAAGGCCATAAATACCTTTTTATCAAACCATTTCTCAAGGATATGTTCACAGAATAACTACAAAATTGTATAGTTTATGGTGCTTTTGAATGTATTGTTAAGGTGCCTCCTTGTTTATAGGATGTCTTAATCTAGGGGTCCCCAAACTTTTTATCCTGTCAACCCATTTATAGAATATTTGCCTTCTTATCGACCCCTAGATTAAGTATTTAACAAAAACCTTAAATCATTTTTGCATTTCTGATGTTAAGCGATAAGGAAACCTGCATAACAACCCAACAAAAGAATTTATAGTTCCCATATCTTATAAAATCCACCCAATAACATTAACAGAAAAAGGAGATATTTTCCACTGATTTATAATCTTAAAAAATAATAGCAAAATTATGGATAGATGGAAATTTGCCTATAGTTCTTAATCCGTACATGTCATAATACATAAAATACACAATTATCTTTGAAAACAAGTTATATTGGATGAAAAACCTCTTCATTTTGCGACTATTACTGAATATCTTAAAAATATGTTAACATACCTTTTTATTAAAATAGTTGATATTAGTGGGATGTATGTGTCTGAAGAGAAGCAGCAAGATTACTGATATTCGGTTGAAAATTGGTAAGTTTTAGTCGCAAATCACCATGGTTTTCCAAGTTCAGTCTGTTCCTCTGTTTTGTCAAAATTGCATTCGCGTGGCTAAAACCAGCTTCAACCATGTATGAAGTTGGGAATGCAAGTAAGAAAGGTTCGGCTTCTGCTCTGAGCTTGGGATATTTAGTGGCAATATTGCTATTGCTCCAAAATTCACTGAGGTTTTTATTTCTAAACAATGCTTTAGCTTAGAGATCTACACATATTTTGATCGGTTCATCTTCTAAGCCAGGTTCATTACCTTCATTATCTATTTTTTACATCAAATGGATTAGCAAACCATTCGGAAACATGCATATTCTCCAAGTCTTCGAAATGTGCTTTAAAGTATTCTCTTAATTTATCAAGATGTTTAATATATATCTCCAAATTACGGTCGGAAATCTTTTCATTTTCGTTTAGTACTAGCAAGTTTGAAAAATATTTAAAATCTGATCGTGCCAGTAAAGATTTAAATAGCTCCATTTTTACTTGAAAGGCCATTATGATTGTTCAAGCTTGAAAAATTGTAACTTTTTTTCTTGCAAATGCTTCTGTACTATATTAATTAATTAATGATTCTTGATATATTATGATATTTTCTCTGTAAATGACACAATATCTACATTTAGATATAAAATATTTAAAGTGACAACTCTACTAGAGTGTAACAGTGCAACGTATGTTGTGTATAATGAATTACCAGCATTCATAACATGTTTGCAACACAAGTACAGTTTCCAGATGCATGAAAACAAAGTAACACATGCTTAAAGCGGCGTAGGCTAAGGCAAAATTCAAGTTATAACTAGAGTAGTCAGTAATGTTGATCATATCCATATTTTGAATTTTTATTGGAATATTCTATTTTTTCGTAGACAGTTTAATTGATCCTCTTTGGTATTAATCAACCCCCTTTCGATCCTCGTGTATTAATCGACCCCTGGATAACTCTTATCGACCCCAAGAGGTTGCTATCGACCACTTTGGGGATCCCCCCCTATCTTAATCAGAACTCTTGTAACCCTTGTAACTGGTGTGGTGTTGTATTTGGTATGGAGTAGTTTATCTTTATCTTTTGTATTTACACAAAATGTAAGAGAGAATGAAGATCATGAATCTATTAAAAGGTGGTGGGTACATAGGGAAAAATGTTTGACTTAAAAGAACTCACAGTTTCTAATTAATGTTTACATGGAACCATATGTACTGTGCCTAGGACCTGTAGAAAGCGTTGAGTTAATGCAGTTTGAGTTAATGAGGTTTTACTGTAGTAATTGGTAAGATAGCCTGGAAACTCCATATTCCACACACAGGAATCTGCAATAACATAGGACAAGTGGGATCTATCAAGATTACTGAGCAAGAAAATAACACAAAATGCATAATTGTCCAATACAACAAAAATCTTCATCACATATATAAAGAAATAGCAGAAGAGAAGGAGATCAGATTAACTTACACAAGGCTCAGACTATATATGAGCTACTAAGGAATGATAAAGACAAGCTAAATAACAGGAGAGCACCAGAGGTATACAAAATACTGATCAAAGATAATAGATTTCAATGAGACTTGTTGTACATAGGATCAACAAAAAAACTGTTACAAAACAGGCTAAAAGAATGTAAATATGATATAGACAGAGGTAACAACACAACAGCACTGGCAATGTATGCATCATATCAAGATATACATGCGGACAGTGGTGATATTCGAAATATTTAACAAAGGGTTCGCTAACAGAAACTTTTTCCTTAACTTAACCCCAAGCCCGAGATATCTCGGGCAAGTTACATAGCGTTACATAAAACGCGGGCGTTTGGTCCCCCTAAAAGTTGTTTTTTTTTTTGCTTTTTGGAATGTTTTTTAAGTCTCCAAATTTTTTCAAAAATTTTTTCCCGCGTGAAAAAATTTTATCGCGATTTTAATTTACCTTTAATGACGCACGATTCACACTTAATTGCTTTTTAATTGGAGTTTGATATCAAATTTCATTCATCGTTCTAAAGTTGTAGTGCACGGATTTTACTTCGGTAAAGTTATTTAAAGCTAGTTTCTGATGTCAAAAACGACCTCCGATAGTTTTTAAATTTTTTTAATTAATAGATTTTATTATATATAAGTTTAATTAAGTCGGGGGGTCGGAAATCGCAATAAAAATTTTAATTTTTTAAAAATATACGGCCAGCTAGTATTCACCCTACTATAAACCCATCGCCTCCCGAGACTTCTATGAGAATGTCCCGGGAAATCCAACTCCAGCTGTGTTCAAGGTCATCCAGCTGTGTAAACAATGACTCATCAGCGTCAGATTTCACAGAAAGGCGAGACAAAGGAAAATAAAATTTGAAGCTTTTTCTTCAAAATTAACGCATTTCTTTCGTTTTTTTCAGTTTTAAGTATTTTTTATGTTTAATTACATTAATATCAAAAATTGCTAGAGTCCCAAGGAGTTAACTGCTTTCCCTATGACTTTTTCTCAAGAAAAAACTTTTCTAAATCATTTATTTTATCATTAGGTATTATTATAATAATAGACAGATGTCATCGTTTCTCGAAATACAATATCTTTTTTATTTCGCTGTCGATAGCCCGACACGTGTTCCGCAGCCATCTTGTATTTTCTCGCGCGCGTGGGATTGTGGGATCCCTCGTATGACTGGACCTAGTTTCAAGAACTCTCTTGAGTCGATCGCGATTAAATCTCGTTTCAGTCGAGATTGAAACGGTCGATGGAGGTTGCACCATGGCGAACGGGGTATAAGGCTCTAGTTTAGTAGTGTTACAGAGTATAATATGTATATTTTAATATATTTTTTAAAAGAAACAAAACCGCTGAGAAATGTTATGTGTGTTTAACAACGGGTTCAGAAAACTTTGAAAATGTTAACAACAGGTTCGGCCGAACCTGTGCGAACCCGCTGAATATCACCACTGCATGCGGACCTAGAGAATGCTACCCTTATAAAGAAATCATTCCAAACTGACCATATAAGGGAATTGGAAAAATTAAAATAAAATAAAATACTCCACAAACCTCTAACTGGAGTGCTCCTAATTTTAGAATTGCGAATGTTTTCATCACCCCTCTTGGGCTCTTCTTCAGGCTATAACGAATGGGCCTTTAATATTCAAATAAACATTCGATATGAATCTCTTGCGAATTCTATCATTTGAAATCGTTCCGAAGTTGCGTTGTGCATGCTCTTTATCCATCAAAATCTCTTCCGAATTCTATCGTTGTATTGCGCATGCTCCATACTCATCTCTTTAAACACTGTTATCTAGCAAAATCTGCCATGCTATCGATATAATTATAGAGGGAAAATGGCCCTATCGATAGCATGGCAGATTTTGCTGGATAACAGCGTTTAAAGAGATGAGTATGGAGCATGCGCGATACGATAGAATTTGGAAGAGATTTTGATGGATAAAAGCGTTTAAAGGGATGAGTAAAGAGCATGCACAACGCAACTTCGGAACGATTTCAAATGATAGAATTCGCAAGAGATTCATATCGAATGTTTATTTAAATATTAAAGGCCCATTCGTTATAGCCTGAAGAAGAGCTCAGGAGGGGCAATGAAAACGTTCGCAATTCTAAAATTAGGAGCACTCCAGTTAGAGGTTTGTAGAGTATTTTATTTTAATTAAACACCGGTGTGTAGAGAGATTGAATTGGAAAAATTAGAAATATACAAAGCAAGCAGAGCGGGGAACTGTATAAACTATAAAGACGACAACACTATATCACATGCATGGCAATATACGTATCAGAAGGATCCTCAACAATATTGACATCTTCAGAGAATTCTGGGATAAAATATTAATATGCAGAAGGTGGACCTATATAATGGAGTAGGACATAAATAGCCAAATTAATTTACATCAAATAATTTGAATGGTTGAACTAAGTGGCACTTAATACTTGAACTCTGGTCATTCCAATATTAGAACATTATTGAACCTGAAGCAGTTCTCGATAGAGATACAAAAATGTTTGTTCAAGCAAGTAAATATTATTTTTACTGGAAGTAAAAGGTTTTGAAAGAGATATTTACTGTAGTAGACTATGAAATATTTTAAATAATGAAATTTATGATATGTTTTTATCAATTTGAATAATTTTTAGAAAATAACAAAATAAAAGTAATATAGTTTATGTAATATAATTTTTAGTATTAAAATTATTGTTGTAAAACTTAAAATTGCTATTCTGTTTTAATAAAAACAACTTGATATAAATTGGATGATGGTAAATTTGGAATAAAACAGTAATACTGATTAGTGATGACACAAAATTTAGAAACTACTATCTTAACAACAACAAAATTTCAATGTTTTTGGTCTTATTTTGGACCATCTTCAGTTTACAGGTACCTGTATACTGAATGTAGAATAATGAAATGCAGCTGAAACATTTTAAAAATAATTTTGGTCTTATTTTCTTAAGAACACCAAAATTATTTTTAAAATGTTATTCTTCTGTTATTTTCAGGCATTATTATTGTGAGGGGCTAGCATGAGTAGTCGTGAGTAGAGAGTCTGGGTTAGTCTCTCTACTACTAAATCGGTGGCACAATCGGTAGGACTGGCCTGCAGTCTTAGGATGGTTTCCTAAGACATTGATAAAAGAGCAGAAGTTTGTGAGAGACCCCTGCAAGTTTGTTTTTCCTGACATCAACCTAGATAAAGCATTAAGTGCGCTCGTAGTCATTTGAGAGGAATTTCGAGTGGGAGGATCACAAGTAAGCAGAGTTGACATAGACTCAGATTTTAATAAAAAATGAGACCATGTTAAAATAAAATTGAAATATTTAATGAAATCAATTAAATCAAAAATGTATTACAGAACATTTCATTCGAGATCTAACTTGCAAAGAGAAAGAGTTTACATTAATCCTGAAGTTATATTACCTCATCGTAGTTGGATGAATTAAGTCTGTCTTCGTGAGAAGTGTCAATGATTAGTGATGATTGGAAAATCATGAGATTCTGGATCAAAGTTGCAGCTTAAATTTTATTCTTCTCCACACACCGGAATGTTCTTGGTTCAATTGTTTGTAATGCTATCCGCATGCAATCGATTGTGTTTTTTGTTTTTATATCCACCATGGTTGAGAACCGTTTCACATAAATATGCATAAGTGTAGAATAATTTGGCAGCCCCCTGGCAAATCTTGTTAAAAAAAAACACTGTTCTATAGACTAAAATATAAGAATTTTTCCTGTAAAGATCGAGGTAATTTGTATTTTTCCAATTGTGTAGGAAAAATTAGATTTAATAAATTCTGATTCCCTGAAATTATGATTATTTTCATTTTATAAAATATGTATTTTTTTAAAATAAAAATTGGAATAATTAAGAGGTTATGTTAATTTGAAAAACTAGCTTTAAACTTTTATAAAATTTATTGGATGAAAGTTTTAATTAAGCCTTTTGTGTTTGTTCTCAGAAGTTAATTTGAAGTACAGTGGTACCTCAGGATACGAAATTAATCCGTTCCGAAACTGAGATCGTATCATGAAAATGTCGTAAGGTGGATCATCTTTTCCCATACGATTACATGTAAAACCAAATAATTCGTTCCAACACGAAAAACATACTCAAATTAAAGCCAAGTAATACATTAAAAATAACTGTAGTAACAAAAACAAATGAAAAATGCGAACTAATGTAACGTCGTATGGTGAGTTTTTGTTCGTATCGTGGAGCAAAAATATGTTCGAATTTCATGTCGTATCCTGAAAATTTCGTATGCTGGGGCGTTCGTAACCTGAGTTACCACTGTAGTCATCTTATAAACAAAAACTGATCTCTTCCATTTGTAAAAAAATGGACATCATATTAAGAAAGTTTATTTAATATTCTTAGAAAAGATTGCATGATATAAATAAAATTTATATAGTATTTTTAAACTAGATCATAACTTGCTGCAAATATATATATATAATGCATTATCTAAAACTTAACTTTACTTATAAAAGTGACAATGATTTATTTTGTAGGTCATTATGAAAATCGTACTGTTTTTGATTCTTTGGATGTTGGATGGCAACTTCTTCGTATCTTTCCTAAAGAAATGTTAAAACGTATTCCTAAGAATATATTAGACGAATTTTATCCTCGTGATAGTAAACATAATGCTAATCCTCAGTCACAACCAAAATAATAAAGTAAGTAAAATTTACACATTTTTTTAAAATTAATATTTTTATTTCTTCTAATAAAAAGGAAAGTAAAATGTATTTAAGAAAAAAATTTCTTAAAATAAATTTTGTAAAAACATGTTTAAATATTTGTTTACATATAAAATTTAAAAAGTAGGAATAGGAATACCTTTTCATTAAAATGAAATAGCAAGAGTAAATAGATTCAGAGCTTTCCAATCTGATTCTCTGTAATATGATAAAATGATCAACCCCATCTGTGGGTTCTATATAGATAAACTGACTGCTCCATAACTAACATTAACCATCCTTTTTGAAGTCCCACTCTGTTCTCTGATCCAAACAAGGAGTATTTTTATCTGGTTTGCATAATTTTTGTTTGTTTGCTCAACCAGTGCACAGTATTCAATAAGTATAGCAAATACAGTAGAGCATCGATTATCTGAATCAATTGGGGACTGGGTTGTTCAGAAAATTGATTTTTTGGATAACTGATTATGTATGAAAAAATATATTAGCCTATCCCATGTTGAAACTCGTTCAAATCCTGGCATGTCCTTAAGTACCCTCTCATGGTCCTGCCAGTGCTGCCAGCTAAAACACACACACCAACAAAAATAATATTGAAGTAGCCCAAGACATGGTCAAAGATTGCAGCGCCACAGCACTAGTGGAAATTTAAATTTGCCAACTGGAAAGCTTTCAGTTAATTGACGTTTCAGTTGATCGACATTCGGATAATCAGTCATAGTCAGTCTAAGCTTCATCAAATAAGCACATGCTCATATGATATGAATCATACCTCATAAGCAAATGCTTATTATATTGCACTGATATATAGTACTACAATATAACAATGTAATCAAGGGAAAATACAGTATATTTATTATATGTGTAAGTACTGTACATTCACATTTAGAAAAAAATATGCAGTAATGGCACTAGGATTTTTTTCTAAGAGAATATAGGTGCTGCTACTGTGAGGGGAATGGAGGATTCTTATTTAAAGCACTTGGTAAAAGGACTTCTACATGGAGATTGTTTCTTTATCCTTGTATTTTTTTGAACTATATCCAATTTTACAAGCTCTTTATTTATCTTCATGCTTATTTATCTAAATGCTATTCACATGACATGTGAAATATAAAAATGCAAAAAACTTACACTTTTAATTTTTTAAAGTAGTTACATAATAAAAAAAATAGATATGAAAATATTCATGAAAAGTCTTCAGATAATGAAATTTTTTTAATTGTTCTAATTGTTACAAAATTTCAAAATTAACATATTTGCTACTTTTTGTGGATTGCAAATATATTTTTAAGCATTTCAAACATTTTTAAGTACTTCAAATACTCAACCAAATGATTGCCTTAAACAATCGGGCTATAAATCTGCTATTATTAATGATTAAATAACAAATTATTTAGTACAGTAATACCCCGACTTACGCTACCCCGACTTACGCAAACCCGGAGTTACGCGATTTTCAAATCTGGTCGATTCGTCTTTTGTTTGAGCGCCACAAAACCCTTGATTACTCACTCCCCCCACACTATTGTTCAGCTTACATGTTCAGATGTGTCGCGTAAAATCCACACATAGCTACAATTTATTTTGTGTTATTTATTTCTGTGTTTGTTATATCTATGGAGACTTGAGAGACTCTACTATGTCATCCAAACGAAGTAGAACTAATTCTTCTGCATCAAACAAGAAAAGAAAAACTTTATCTTTGGAATGTAAAGTTAACATTGGGTATGTTCGTAAAGTCGAACGAGTTAAACGAGAATGACGTCATCGTTATTCCTATTTCGTTAGACTTTTCGAACGATTCGTTACTAACGCGTTTAACTCGTTTGACTTTACGAATGTACCCATTATTAAAGACTTCGATACAAAAATGAAAATTTGTGAATTGGCAAAGAAGTTTGATCTACCGGAATTGTCGGTCAGAACAATTATAAAAGGCAAAGAAAAAATTCTCGAAGCTGTGAAAAATGCTCAATCCTTAAATTCAAGCATCATTCGTGAACATCACAGTATTATCGCTGAGATGGAAACAATGTTAAAATTATGGCGTAATAATCAAGTAAATGTGAAAAATTGTAAAATAATATAGGCCTAATTTGTTATACATATGTATTATCTAAGATTTTATTAAACATTTTTATCTAAAATGTTGTTTTCTTTAGTCTCCGGCCCCAATTAAAAATTATTTCTATGTATTTATATGCGAAATTTTACCCCGACTTACGCGAATTTGACTTACGCGGTTACCGCTTGGTCCCACCTATCACGTAAGTTCGGGGTATTACTGTATTTAATCATTAACAATAGCAGATTTATAGCCTGATTGCTTAAGGTGATTGTTTGGTTGAGTATCTATGTATCGGACTTCTGGATGTTTGGTATACTTGTACTTTAAATATTTTTATGCATTCCAAATATTTCAAGTACTTATGTAAGATTTTAAAATACTGTACTTGAAAATTCAAATTTCTGATACCTAGTATTTTAAATAATATGTACCAGAAATACTCTAACTTAAATTAGGCAGGCTGTTTGGTATATGGGAAAAAGTATTTCTAATACAAGTATTTGGGTAATACAAGTATTTGGTATAATATTTCAAGTACTTATGTAAGATTTTAAAATACTGTACTTGAAAATTCAAATTTCTGATACCTAGTATTTTAAATAATATGTACCAGAAATACTCTAACTTAAATTAGGCAGGCTGTTTGGTATATGGGAAAAAGTATTTCTAATACAAGTATTTGGGTAATACAAGTATTTGGTATAATATTTCAAGTACTTATGTAAGATTTTAAAATACTGTACTTGAAAATTCAAATTTCTGATACCTAGTATTTTAAATAATATGTACCAGAAATACTCTAACTTAAATTAGGCAGGCTGTTTGGTATATGGGAAAAAGTATTTCTAATACAAGTATTTGGGTAATACAAGTATTTGGTATAATATTTCAAGTACTTATGTAAGATTTTAAAATACTGTACTTGAAAATTCAAATTTCTGATACCTAGTATTTTAAATAATATGTACCAGAAATACTCTAACTTAAATTAGGCAGGCTGTTTGGTATATGGGAAAAAGTATTTCTAATACAAGTATTTGGGTAATACAAGTATTTGGTATAATATTTCAAGTACTTATGTAAGATTTTAAAATACTGTACTTGAAAATTCAAATTTCTGATACCTAGTATTTTAAATAATATGTACCAGAAATACTCTAACTTAAATTAGGCAGGCTGTTTGGTATATGGGAAAAAGTATTTCTAATACAAGTATTTGGGTAATACAAGTATTTGGTATAATATTTCAAGTACTTATGTAAGATTTTAAAATACTGTACTTGAAAATTCAAATTTCTGATACCTAGTATTTTAAATAATATGTACCAGAAATACTCTAACTTAAATTAGGCAGGCTGTTTGGTATATGGGAAAAAGTATTTCTAATACAAGTATTTGGGTAATACAAGTATTTGGGTATTCCATCTCTGTACTGTCAACACTAATCCTCACAATTTAGATGGAGAGGATTGGTCATTCATCAACAGCCACTTAGATTCATACCACTGAACCATTAAGAATTCCAATGGAACTCCTGGAAAAATTTAAAAGTAGGGGAGGAAATTTTTATATTACTGTATGTGACTGAATCATTATTCCCTTCTCTAAAAAAATAGAAATCTGTTTCTATATGATATGGGGATTTTCTCTTTACACATATTACAAGTATGCATATAAAGACATTCTACAGCATGTTGATATATCATGCAATACATCTTAACATTGTGTGAGATCATTGTATGTTACCTGGAAAATGGTATCCTACCAGCTTTAGAACCATTCATCAGCCTATATGCTAGGTATATTGATGATGATCTAATCATATGGAAATGCAAACAGAACATACAGATATAGAAAAATATATTTCCTTTTATACTATACATATAATTGAGTCCATCTTCATTTGTCCCTTCACATGCTTTGCAAAGGCAATAACAAATTTACAGCGATACCGACCTTTTATTTGAGGCTACATGTTCACCGTCCAATGTAAATGAGTTAAAAAAAAATTCAAATTTCTGATACCTTTTTTTTTTTTAAGGACATAAAGATGTTCATGAAATCCATCAACAACAATAATTGGCACATTTAGCACAATAGTGTGCATTTTCTAGATGTTCTTGGATGGTACTATTGACAATGGATCAAGACCATAAATCTACCTACCAATTATATTTTATCTTGGCCATATCACATGATCAGTACTCATATAAATTGGCAAGCTTCAAAGCATTAATAAAAACAGTATACACACATTCGTCTAACATTAACAACAGGCACAAAGTTAAAGCACGTTAACCGCAATTTAACATGATATTGATCTAAAGTTATCAATGGATTAATACAAGAATACCTACAGCACAAAAGTAAAGAACATAAGACAGGACACTGAATATAAGGCAGTAAGATACAATAAAATTATGATTCCCATAGACCAGGAAATTTGTAAGAGCCAACAAATTGACCATAGCATACAAACAAAATTCCACAGTGTACTTAGCAACTTACAAGTAACAAGGACACCCATAATAGTTTTGAACTTCCAGAATACTAATTTCAGACCATAATGGGGAAGCATCTGAAATACACTGGGGGCAATGTCAAGGTCACTACAACACCTACAGGAACATCACACATTGATCGCAAAGGTGTAACACACAACAGCATCAGTTCTGTGCAGACAGTTTAGAAATACAGATCCACATAGATCAGACAGAACACTATACTACTTGAGAAAACCTTCCATTCTTAAATATGTAGAAAAATTGGAGATTTTCAAGGCCAACGGAAATAAAATGGCCATCAATTATGGGACAATGATACCCTAACTATGGCTTGGAGAGCCCTATATGAAATCTGATAATATTATGTGAGCTTTGGAAACATCAACTATATAATGCCCAATCAGATGGAATTTTAACTCTGCATTTGATTGCGCATGTTACATTAAAAAAAACTGAAGATGATTGTTCTAAAGCAACCAAAAACAAATTAGATAATAAAGAAGTTTGTGTTTAAAATTGCTGGATTTTTGGGTTTTTCACTGTACAGTGATACCTCTGTTTTTGTCGATAATCCGTCCGAAAACAATTGGAAAAATCCAATACCGGTGCAATTATTTCCATATGAATCAATGTAAATCCAATTAATTTGTTCTAGACACTCCAAAATACAGATTAAAAACACATTTTATAGAGAATAAATACAGTGTTTAATACTAAAAAACAATAAGAAATTAATATAAAATGAATATAAAAGACTAATGTAAAGAATAAATGAACATTTAACATGGCATTTGAAGGGCTGCAGCTATAGAAATTTTCTTTGGTTCCATGGAGTTAAAATGAAAGAAAAGCAATGCAATTCTTTGGTTTTTTTTTTTTAACACTCTCTGCTCTGTGGGCACTAAGCAAGCCTCTTTTAGCAACCCCATTATGGGTTCAGCCAAGCCCACAATGGGTAGTTGGGTGGAGAAGGACAGGGCCCCGACATATCCAGATGGACTATTTTCCAAAAAATTCCTAGGGATATTTTTTCCCTTCCACAGTCAATCTTAGAACCCCCTGGAGCGGTAAGCCGCCAGCTTGACTGCTCGGCCATCCGGCTGTCATAGAGCAGTTGTTTGGCTAGATGCACAGAGTAATGCTCACACTACAAGAAACAATGCTAAACTGAGCAGGAAAAAGTATGGTTCTCCCTTTGTTTTTGCAAATTTGCAGCGAGATCACATGGGCACACCAACAAAATCCGAGGCAACGAACGAAAACCGAGGCAAAAAATCGACAATAACCAAAGTCAACGAAAACGAAGATATTACTGTACTTATTTTGTAAAGGTGAAATATTTTCCATAAGTCATAAAAGCAGATATTTATAGTATTTATGTAGAACTTTGCAAGTATTTTTGTAGAAGCTTTCACATGTATAAAAACTAATGGAATAGTAACAATTTTATTATGAACAGTATTGTGAAGTGTAGATTCAAAATTAGCTAATAAAAGTAAATGAGCAATTATTTATTGTGACAATAAAATAATTCATTTTTATTTTTCCAGTTCTGCCATACTTTCCTCTATTATATAGAGGAAAGTATGGCAGAACTGGAAAAATCAGTCAAAAATCTGACTCCCCCAAGATTTTTCATTTTTGGACTTAACCTTGAAATGTTGGAAAATGTAAAAAAACAATTTGGGGTTTTTTTTTTCTCTGAATGTTTAGATGTCAGTGTGTATGTGGGGCACAATTTTGTTCACTCGCTTTGTAGGTTAATAACTCCTGTGCTTTTAGTGAAAAATTTTAGCAGGGAAGATTGTATATTAGAGGAATTGATATTAAATTTTAGTGATAAAAGTCAAGGGTATGGGAAGATAGATGTTGTTGTGTGTCATATCTTGAGTAGGATCAAATTTAATGACTAATACTGACAATTTTACTCATTATCATTTACAATTTTTTTTAAAAAGTCAACCCTACCTTCAAAATTAAGCTTTTTTTGCCATTTTTTAAAATTAAAAATATAAAGTTTTTTAATCAAATACCATAACAAATGGTGCCCCACACAGTTTTAAGTGTTATCAGGAAAGTTAAGCAACTTGTTACTGGAATTTTGTTGTTACTTATCTACACAGATACAAATAGTAAACAATATATACAGAGTATATCTACATATATAAACAGAGAATAATACATGTAAACAGAATATATATATAGTTATATAAGTTTTGACTTGTATAGGATGTGCTAAAAATGTAAATTTAAATAGAACCATGTTAAATATATATTAATGTAGGCTTAGTAGTGATTCCAAACTGTTTTGAGCCACCATTCCCTTGGTTCCATAAACTTATATGCAATGCCCCTAGACATTTTCCCTTGTATGAGAAAATTTTAGAAATATTCATAGAAAAACTTTTCTATGAATCTTGCACATTGTGTGCCCTTTACTATACACTGTTCTCCATGTGTGGAAACCATTAAATGCTATGTTTCATCTTATCTGTTTTAATAGAGGAAAGGGAAAAGTTTGTCAGTGACCCAACCCTTACCTATGGTCATTGTTTGGTCGGTACCCTGCCACCCATTTCCTTTTTTTTCATCCCCCTAGATTAACTCACCACCCAAGGGAGGCAGTAGTGCCCACTTTTTGAACCATTGATCTATAAGATTTGAAATTGAAATACATAAATGGTAAAAATAGTTATAACAAGTAATCTTATGACATTGAGTTTTGGTTTTAACTGTGTAAACAAATTTTTAATAAAAGTCAATTTATGTTAGGATTTATTTTAACAAACTATTTATAATTTATATAGAAAATTAAGTAAGTGAATCGAAATATATCATAATATAGTATAAAAATGTTAAAATATATTTATATTTACTGATTATTAATTAATAATTTTTTAACAGGTAATATAACGATTTCATAATGAAATGCAGATCTTTGACACATCAAGACAACTGTTGTTAACTGTCCCATGAATACTTATTTAAAGCAGACACTATTGTTTCTGTTGACAGAATTAATTACAAACATTCCAAATTATCTGTAATAAAACAAACTTTCAACTTGTAATTGAGCTATTTTATGTTAATTATTATTGTATATTTCATACATCAGAACTGTTACATAAAGATATGACATGTTTTTAAAGCTATAATATGCAAATATTTGAAGATGTCTAAAACTTGTGTGAAAGTGCAATATTTTTATAATTAGTATTAAGAGAACTCTTAAGTTTGGTGTATATATATATTTTTTGATTGTTACATTTTTGATTGAGATTATTTAAACAATTAAAAATACTTATATATACCAAGACAAAATGATATAGTTAATCAGTAATAATTAAGCAAATTTTAAACTAAGAAAATTTTGAAAATTTGATTAATATTGGACTGGTTTATTTATTATTAATTTTCAAGTTGCTAATGATTAGACAGGAGCTTTATATTTTGAAATGATTAATGGAAATGTTATTAAATGGATATATTAAGGGATGAATTGAAATGACTTTTTCAGTTTTTTTTTACATTTCGAATTTATAATTAAAAGTTTGTTATTAAAATAAGAATCTCTAATCATTAAGTAAAAGAACTGTACAAATTAAATTACTGTGTACAGGGAAAAAAAAAGATTTAAAAAAATAAATGATATTTATGAGTTTGTCAGATTTTCATTTTTAACTAAAAATCTAACACACGCAATTTTTTTTAAAGTTTTAAGTTTTGCAGAATAAGAATAGAGCCAATGTTAATATGCGAGTATTTATGACTACTTCAGGCTTCGGCCGGCCAATTCCAACAATCGTTAGTCAGTTCGAGGAAGAAAGTCACCAAAGCTGAATGTTTTGCAGAGCTAGATCATACCAATTCTAACTCATGTTATTATCACTGTAAAAATCTCTTTAGTTGAAGTAGAAAAAAAATAATTTCAAAAACAATGAGAAAAGATAATCACTGTTCAAATACCTTTAAGTTCAAAAATTATACGAAAACAATGCTTTTCCAGTTGAAAAAAGCATCAAAGAGAACAGTTGTTTACAGTTTGAAAAATCATACCTATAAAAGAAAAATGTATTTAAAGTTGAAAAACGCAAGAGAGATCTTTTTAGTAAACAGTTTAAAAAATCACATTGAAAGTAAAAAATGATTTCAATGGTAGAAAAACACCTGCAAAGATCCATTATAAATACATCTCAAGAAGAAAACACTTCAATTAGTCGAAAAATCACATCATTAAGGAAAGAATCTTTTTTACTTAATGATGTGATTTTTTCGATATTTTTTTCGCAGAGAAAAAAAATATCGGAAGAAACTTTTGCAAAGAAACTTTTCTATCGCACCATATAATCCATACCTAGCTAACATCGGGGAGAGAAATATTGCCTATTCAGAATACAAGTAAATTGCGCGGTTAGTAGAATCGCAATTGCCGAAACACAGTCTAAAAGAAGTAGGCAATAGAAGAATAATCACCACAATCAATATATAAGTTATATTAACGTAACAAAAACTTTTATAAACTATAGGAAAGTTTAAAATATCCTAAAACTGTTAGAGATGCAAAGCAGTTCTTGACAAACAACTAAATTAACCAGGCATTTTGATTTCAAGTCTTCAATAGCTTTATAGTTTCCATTTTGTTTAATAGTAGTATGTTAATGAAAAATGTCCTGTAATATTTTGGGGTAGACGATACTTAAATTAAAAATGCTGTGTGTTATGCAAAAAATTATACATGTATACAAATCTTGAGTCTTTTTATGTATTTGATGTCTTCTGTTATATATTGTATATTAAATATTATATATTAAATAGATTGAAAAATATAACAATGAAAATATGAAATTAATATCACTAGATGTAGTAAATATATACCCTAGCATTACAATAGGAGATATAGAAAATTCTTTAATAAAAATAAAAATGCCAAATTGGATAATTAAATTATGTTTAATTATAATCAAAAACAACTATTTTAAATTTGATGAGAAATTCTTCACCCAAATAGAAGGAATACCTACCTATAGGTACATTTATAGGTCCAAAATTGGCTGAAATATCAATGATACAAATAGATGAAAAGATTAAAAATATAGAAGGTATTGAATTTTATAGCAGGTATGTGGATGATTGCATAATAATTTTTGATAAAAGGAAAACAAATGAAAATATAGTCATAAAATATGGCTAATAAGATTAGAGAGATTATTAAATTTGAATTAAAAAAAGAAAAACAGAATAGCATAAATTATTTAGATATAACAATTGAAAGAAAAAATGATAGATTAATTTATAAGAAATATGTTAAACCTATACAAATACCAAAAATAATTAATTATAAATCTGTTATCCCTGTTAGTATGAAATATATTTAAAATGCATATGAATAAAATAAGAAAAAGAACAAGTGATATAGAAACACAAAAACAAGAAAAAAAAAAAAGAAATAATTAAAATGATTATCCAAAATGGTTATTGAATAAATGGATTGAAAAATTAGAAAATGACAAACAATCAAAATCAATGGATAAAGAGAAAAAATTTGTTATAAATCTGTTATCCCTGTTAGTATGAAATATATTTAAAATGCATATGAATAAAATAAGAAAAAGAACAAGTGATATAGAAACACAAAAACAAGAAAAAAAAAAAAGAAATAATTAAAATGATTATCCAAAATGGTTATTGAATAAATGGATTGAAAAATTAGAAAATGACAAACAATCAAAATCAATGGATAAAGAGAAAAAATTTGTTAAACTAAGGTATTTAAGGTATTACCAAAGTTATTTGAAAGAATTAAAAAAAGTAGTAAGAAGTAGAATTAATTTAATGCTCGAAAAAATAAATGCAACTAAAAAATATTTGTTATATCATATTTTTCTTCTTTTCTATAACAGAGGAAAAAGGTGTAGTGTATTCATGTAATTGTAATTGTAACCCGAAGAAAGCATATATTGGAGAAACAAAATTAAAAATAAGATTAAGTGAACATATTCGAGCAATTAAGGGAAAATATGCAAATTCGGCAGTGGCTGAACACTAACACAGAAGGTTGCGAAATTGACTTAAATACGGTGAAAATAAGGAAAAAAGAAGAAAATAATTATAAAAGACAATTATACGAACACATCAATATGATTAAACAAACGGATAGAATAAATAATAATACCGGAAGGGAGATCCAGCAATCATGGAGAAGTATTATAGAAAGGGGAGGGAGACGTATAAAAGAAGAGATCTGAATGAATTTGAGTATGCTGAGCGGTCTTCGTCCTTGCACTTGAGTGGACTAGACCCTGAACACTGGGAGTTTGGTCGTGTGTTCGCGCCGCAATCGGACAGGCTGACTGCTTAGAGTTTTCCTGGTTTTCTCCTTGCCAATAACGACTAAATAGGAGGACAGTTCCTCCTATAAAATTCCTCCCGGAAGGCATTTTTTCCACGCGCGCGCGTTTAGGCCGTTCGGATACGGCTGGCTCGTCGGTCGCATAGCGATAATAAATGTCATTCGGAGAAAGAGCCTAAATTGAGCTATACTCTCCATATAAACTGAAGAAGAAGAATGAGAAAGAAGAAGAATTGGAGTATAAAGTGAAAGAGAACAAAGATGCATACATATGAAATTATATGGTTAATATGGATTACGAATATACTAGGAATTATGAAGGAGTTCGAAAATATTGAATTTGTAAGAATTTTATTATTTTATTGTCGGGAAATTTTTATGTTTATTTTAATTTTATAATTGTAAAAAATTTAATTTGTTAATTGTAGAAAGTGTCTTTTGAAAGCCTGCTGATGAGGGACAAATAAGTCTGAAACACAAGTTTAAAGTGTATGTGTACAGGTGAACTAAATAAAAAGTATTATTTCTGATTTGTAAGTTAAATTTCTGCATTCATAAATCCAGTATAATAAGTCCTGTTAATTGATAAAGTACTAGTATACAAGATAAATATTAAATTGAATGTAAATATTCGGAAGGCATACTGCAGAAATTTAGCATCAAAATAGCTGAAAATCTATGATGAAAAAGCTTCTACTAATTATGATGCAACTGAACGTTACATTGAGGAATCTGTCACTGTGGTATCTGTGAAAACGTTAGTTTAGTTTTCCAGGTTGTTCAAACAAGTTGTAATGTAATGGATATGGAGTAGTGTTTCTCAACCGGGATTCCGGTTGTTTTTTTAACCCGGGAAATCCCGCAAATTTCTTAAAAATTCACTTTTTTTCTTATTTTGTGTTAAGGTTAAGAAATTTTGCAAATAAAAAGCATAATTATCTCATTCACTGTCAGAATACATTTGTATTTATTAATTTTAAACCTACCTATTAGTTTTTTTTTTAATTTTTTCTCGTTATGGCATGTTACAAATGGTCGATAATCAATACGTAGCTTATTTGTGCCAGGACTCTGAAAATTCTTTACTTGTCAGAATCTGTAATATATGGAATAATTGTGCTTACGCTGTCTTAATTTTTAACCATGCCCAGTAGCTTCAATAAATGCGTAACGTCAGATTGCGCAAATTGGGCAAAGATACAAACGAGTATAAAGTCTGCAAGTATGAAGTTTTTCTTCATAAACCTGATTATTACAGCCAAACGAATTGCCGAATTATTGAGCTATAAGCTCGATGCCGCTATTAAAGCAGCCGAGGTAGACAAATCAAAAATACTAGAGAGAAAAAGAAGTACTACAAACTCGAAATCTTCCAGGCTACAGGTGAAAAAACACATAATATCTGTCTTCTCTTAAATGCATTAAACAGGATTCCAATCACATCAATTGAATCGGAAAGGGCATTTTCGGTAGCAAGACTTTTCATTACTAAAATAAGAATTAGAGTGAGTGATCGGAGTATTGATCATCTTTGCTTTTTAAAATCTTATAAAAGTTTACAATATTTTGTATTATATTTTATTTAAAAAACGAAAATTACCTTCTAAGTTATAAGTTTGATCTAAGTTCAATTTTTAATTTTTAACTAAATTCAAAGCATTTTTGTTGTTGTTGTATGCAGTTTCTAGCAAACTAATAATTTTTTTTTTCTATTTGTGAAAATTTCTACGTAATTCAAAGGTAATTTTTATTATATATCTTACACAACATTATTAATGTGATTTTGATGATACAGAACTTTAAAATTACTTTTAAAAAATAATTATATCATTTAATTTCAAGATATTTTGTATACCTTACAAATAATTGATTCTATCCCGGGATTCCGGGAAACAGTTCACTTTTATCCCGGAATCCCGGGACAAGCAAAAGACCGGGAAATGAGAAACTCTAATATGGAGAATGTGAGACCCTTAATCATTGCAAAAACATCAAGAGCATATTGTATTATATGAACAATGTGTACTCTATACACTGCAAACTGCCAAGATTGAATGATGCAAAGCATTTTTAATAAATAGTTGAACTATAAACTGGATTTAAAAGATGAAACAAAAGTAGAGTCCAGCAGTCAGATGACGACTGCTTGGTTTGAGTCCCAACTGGAAAATCTGCAAGTTGAGTGCTTTGTACTGCTGTTCTACAGCTGATCTTGGAATAATCCATACTGTACAGGCTGAATCTTGATTATTTTTTGCAACATTGATAACTATGTTTAGAGAAGGATCAATGTAAAGCAAGCTGTTGACAAGAATGCTGAAGCATGGGCAGATGCCATGAATTTTATCACACTATATTTTGTCCGGTAGCATTAGAAAGCACAAAATGTCACAGGTTCTCCAATCTTGGTGTAGGAAAACAAAGTTAATGACTACCATTAACCTTTTTTCTAGTTCAAAGTATATACATCATACTAAATAATATTAGTTAATGGTGATGTCCCTTCCATTAACTGTCAGAATTATTATTACTGTTTGAACAAAATATAATTTTTAACACACTACCAGCAAAATTATTTATTAACATAACATTATTTCCAGGATTATGATGGATAAAATTTATGAAAATTATTAGAAGAAAAGAAACCTCAATCTTAAAATGAAGTATATAGTGAAATTTAACAATTGATATGGTGTATAACTTTCTCTCAGGACAAACTTGACCATTGGTTAACGTCAATACTTAAAGACGATTTCACAGATAGCGATGCTAACGTGAGTCTATCATAATATATTTATGGAATGGTTTTCTTTAAAAACAAGCAATTATTTATTGTGACATTGTCATAATGTTGGGCTGCAATTTCTAATCATATTTTTAATTTTAAATATATCCTCTCCACCTCAAATTAGTAGTGACTTTCCCCTGTACATCACACTTTTCCTTTAACAATACAGTTGTGCCAGTCATATCTCTAACACCTTCCAGGGGAAGATTTTAATTGAAATAACGCAACTTCCGGTTTGCATCGGAAATTCTTATATAGTTAATTGGGGCCTTCTCCCACTAAGGTTTCCGTATCGGATTCCATTCTCGAAATT